TTCCTACCTACTAGCCTCATCCCACCCCCTTGACCTGTCCGTCCTCCCTGGACTGACCTATCCCCTCCCTAACTCCCCACCTACACTCATCTTTACTGGCTCCATCCCCGCCTCTTTGACCTGTCTGTTTCCTCTCCACCTATCTTCTCCTTTATCCATCTTCTATCTGCCTCCCCCCTCTCCCTATTTATTTCGGAACCCCTTCCCCTCCCCCATTTCTGAAGGCGGGTCTAGGCCCGAAACGTCAGCTTTCCTGCTCCTCTGATGCTGCTTGGCCTGCTGTGTTCATCCAGCTCTACACCTTGTTATCTCAGATTCTCCAGCATCTGCAGTTCCTACTATCTCTGAGACTATTATAAGCATAGTTTATGTTCATAAACGATAATTTTCTTTGTTAACAATGTATTCTGGGTAAATTGTAACTGTGAATGATAGTGCATGCATTTTTTGCTTACCAGAAAGGGGATATTTGAAAACCGCATTTGTAAGGACACAGTGCACTTGCAATTTGTCATAGTAATATGCTCTAGGAGAAAATTACTGCAGATGCTGCAATCTGTACTGAGAACAACCAGTGCTGGAGATCACAGTGGATCAGGCAGCAACCATGGAGAGAGAGCAGAATGTAACACCTTCAAATTGTGAACAATTTCCTCCCTTTCTTTTCGCTTGTTACGTTCTATTATTATGTCCTCTCTCCCCTCCCTCCATCCCAATGGGGCTGTCCATCCTTTCAAGTCTAGCACGAGACACACCATCTTTCTGCCATTCTTAAGTTCAGATCACTTGATCTGAATTATCAACATCTTTTTCCAGCAGCACCCTACACCCACAGCATCCTACACCCACTACCTTCCCCATAAACTATAGCATAAATGCTGTTCCCTCCACACTTCACTTCAGCTCTGATGAAGAGTTATCTAAACTCGAAATGTTAGCTTGCTCTGTCTCCACAGATGCTGTGACCTGCTGTGATCTCCAGCATTGGTTGTTTTCCTTGACCTCTGCTCTAGTTTGCTTTCACATTACACACGATATGCCATTACAACTGAACCAGTAGGGAGTTTTGAACATGTGGTATAACCTTAAAGTTAGAGCTAAAGTGTTTAGCAGGGTGGATGTCAGGAAAAATTTAACTAGATAAAAGGTGGTGGAAATTTGGAGGTAAGTACAGAATATAGTTTACAAAACAGCACTTCAGAACAAGTTTGAAATAATGTCCAGAACCCACAAATACTGTAAGTGTCCACGAATGCTTCATTTCCCTTATTTAACATTTTTTTGAAGTCTCAATTCTGAATTTTCTGTAAATGATCTCTCCCTGTAGAAGATGTACAAAAGTGCTCTGCAAACTGGAACAAGATAGAAACCTCAGTGGTGGAAACATTGACTATTCATACAGTTGCTACTGTGATAGCTATACATACAACCAGTCAGTAACAATAGATATTACTCTATTTGTACCTTGTTGTTCCAAAATGCCATATCCATGGCTTCAGTTGATAAGGAGCACAGAGCATTTATCAAATGATGGAGTGAGACATCATCAAGGTACCTTCAAATTAGATTTAAAACACAAGTTAACCAACAGTTTACTATGTCCCACATTAAAATTATTAATTTTATTTATTAAGAGATCATACTCACTGGGAACTCTCAAATAATCTTGAAAGTATATTTGAAATCACTGGCAAATCGCTCATGACAGCAGTGGTCAGAACCTAAAGAGGGTTAAAACCATAAATTCATTATTTGTACATGGTATGCCCCATGAACACATAGGGCAAACAAGTCCACAGAGTGAAGTAAAGGGCTGACAGCTGAGTATAGCTCAAGTGTTATTGCTACAATTCAGGCATTTAAAAAAATCCCTCTGTACCATTAAATTCCAACTGATTTGCAATGCAAACAAAGAAGTCCTTTTTAAAATTAATCACTTATAAACTGAAGTTTTCAAAAAAGAAGAATCAAAGAGCAATCTTTGTTTACACCTGCATGCACATAAGAGGCTCATTTTGATTCTTCTGCAAAAGAGAGAGGGCAAGGTCAATTTCAAACTCAAATCAAATGGAACGCAGTTACTTACAGTGCTTGGCCCTTCAACAGCTCTCCCTGGTTTCAGTGCACCTCCACTTGCAGGCTTCAAGCCCAGAATCCACACAAGATGCTAATAAAAAGAAAGTCCAAATCAGTTCCATGAAAACTCAATTTTAATTATTCCTTAGTAGCATTGTAAAAGCTAAGTCAAAAATGTAAACCAGCAGACAGTGGTCACAGTAACAGCAGTTATACTCTAGGTGTAAAACTGCACAATTGTTTGCATAATTCTCAAACTGAAAATCTGGAAGTTATGGCTGAAAAAAAGTCATAGTTTGTCAAAATTTTCTATCCCAAGTTCATCAAAATATTTTACAAGAAGTAGCTATCACACAACTGAGAAATGTGATGTATGAATTTCACTGCTATGATGTTAGGTATGCAGGCTATGTTGTTCCAAAAATTGGAATATCACATTAAAAAGAATATTCCTTTCGCTGCTTGGAACAAGCAAGGATTTACGCAGCTAACTTGCATTTGTAAAACTAACAGTAACCCTAGCATTAGCCATGATTGGCGGACCATTTGCACAATAATCCTGAGTGAACAATTAAGTCCACTGACAACCAATTTGGATTGTCACTTGGGTTTGCAGTGTATTGGAGGCTACACACATTAACACACAGGACGCTGCTCTTTTCAGACAGAAAGAACAACAAAATAGGCGACAACCATTCCCTGGGTTGCCCCTCAGGCAATGTATTGACCACTCAGAGTCAATCAAAGCCATGGCTTATAATTAAACAAAGCTTGGCAGCTAACTGTCAGTCATAATTAACTAGTGCATTCTGCGTGGAAACACTTCTTGCCAACAATACAGTATATCATTTCCCTTTACTTTGGTATTTCTTTTGAACTGTCTGATGAGTTCATATGAAAAGCTTTAACTCTGTTTTTTCTTCAGAAGTTCTCACCTTCTGTACGGCTAAACAACTCGCAAATCACAATGATATTTTGTGTGTGTTCTATCACATTCATTTTAAATTTTGCGTTTTTGAACTGAATAAAGGGCTCAGTGGTTAGCACTGCTGCCTCACAGCACCAGGGATCCAAGTTCGATTCCAACCTTAGGCGACTGTCTGTGTGGAGTATGCACATTCTCTGTGTCTGCGTGGGTTACCTCCAAGTGCTCCGGTTTCCTCCCACTGTTCAAAGATGTGCAGGTTAGGTGGATTGGCCATGCTAAATTGCCCGTAGTGTTCAGGGATGTGCAGTCTTGGAAATTAGATATATTTAAATATAGAAAACTAATTGCAGAATCCAGAAATACTTCCCTTGCATATAAGGGAAAGACCTGAAGTGATAAGGGTCTAGGCCCGAAACGTCAGCTTTCCTGCTCCTCTGATGCTGCTTGGCCTGCTGTGTTCATCCAGCTCTACATCTTGTTACCTGAATTGATAAAGTGCCTTTCACAACCTCAGAATGGCTGCAAACTGCTCTGGTACAACATACTTTTGAATTTTAGACATTGTTGCAATGCAGGAAATATGACAGCCAATGTGCACGCAACCAAATCCTTAATAGCAAAGCGGATAAAGACCAAATAACCTGTTTTTAGATTTTCTTCCCAGAAGTTTTTTGAAAAGATTTTATGTGAATTCATTGTTCCCAATAGTGAATTGCACTAAATGGGAGTAAGGGTCAACAAGCTAATATTAACACTGGACAAGTCTCCCTTCTGGAGTGATTTCCTACTGGATAAAAGGGATTGCTTAATTTTTTCTATACATTGAAATGCAACGACTGTATTCACGTCAGCTATAGCATGAGCCAGTTAATCTGTTTATGGTGGCACTGACTGAGGCAGGAATGTTAACTGGGACACAAGGCAAACTTCCTGTTCTGCAAATTCGCCTTTAACACCCTCTAACTAAATAATTGGAGACACTGGCTTTATGTCTCAATCAAAGGGAATCATTTTGCTTTTGAAAAAGGGCCTCATATCTAGATGCATCTCACATACTTACATGATCCATGCAAAAAATTAGATTGCAATTACTGAAACAAATAAAAGCCTAACAATGCCAATGTATAATGAAATCCAAATCTTATTTCTTGTAAAAGATGAAGATATGAGCAGGAGATTGATTATACCTGTAGAGTGGCCAGAACGAGCTGCCATGACGTTCCAAGCACCGAACCATGACAATGAGCTAAATTCAACAATGTCCGCATGCACTGAATATTCTTCGCAGTCAACTTGAGAAGGAAAAAAAAAGTTTTATTTATGTTAAATGAATGACTGAAATGCACTATGCCAAAGTATTTCGACATTATTTTAAAGATGCAGGACAAGACACCTTACCATAACAGTTCCTTGGTGTTGAGAAGTCAGAGGCTGACCCACTGCAACCACCTGCTGGTGCGAATCACTTGATGGGCTGATCATCTGCACACTTTGACCCTGAATGGAGTACGCTATAAAGGAAAGATAACAAGATAAGAACAGAAGTAGGTGATAAGGGCCCATACGCTGCAGGCAAGGATGCCCCAGGGTCTGGTATATTGGCGAAATCATGCAGACGCTATGACAACAGATGAATGGACACCACGCAACAATTGCCAGACAGGGGTGTTCCCTCCCAGTAGGGAACACTTCAGCGGTCAAGGGCATTCAGCCTCAGATCTTCGGGATACACAATAACACAGAATCACCGAGCAAAGACCGATTGCCAAGATTGGTATCCATGAGGATGGCCTCAATTGTGATCTTGGGCTCATGTTGCACGATAGATGACTCCAATACATTATACACTCTCACACACACATATATACTCACGCACACACACACACACACACACACACACACACACACACACACACACACAC